TCTGCCCTTTTGTCTAGGCCCAACACCTATCTGCCCTTTTATCTAGGTTTGGTGCCTACCTGGCTTGCTCACAGCATGACCACTGGCCTTCAGGAATCCCACAAAGGTCATCCCCCAGATCCTCCCCCAAATCATCCTCCCAAGTCACCCCTAGATCATCCTCCTAGGTCACCCCCTGGGTCATACCGACAGGTCATCCCCTCAGATAATTTCCCAGATGACCACGGATGTTTCTTAGTCAAAACAGTACCTCCTGGGGAGGTCTGCAGGCCAGTCCTGAAGCTCCTTCAACAGCAAATCCAAGGTTTTCTTCTACAGGTCTCCTACTGTCAGCCCACCGTCACCACTCAAGTGGTGCCATTGTCCAAGCACTGCAGGAGCGAGCAGGGGAGCACCTGGGCCACCAAGGGAAGGGGTGACCGGAGTTTGTGCGGTTCCAACAGCCACCATACCACCACAGATGTAGCTGTGGGCAAGCTTGGATTTTGCCTGTCTGTTACACTTGGAGCTTCCATTTCATAAGTCTTGTTGCAGCAGACCCATGGTAAGGGTTTTCTTAATGGCAGCTGTGGAGGGTTTACAAGCAATCCTGGAGAGTTTCCAGACTTTTGTGGTCAATGAGGACTGTTTTTGTGTCCCAGTTGCTCCCTCCTGCCCTGTGGCCCCCATATTGCACAAGTTAAGGCCAGCAACTTGCACTGCATGGGCTCAGAGAGCCCATTCTCACCTACTTTACCTCAAGAAAGGAGAAGGACAGAGATCAGAGGGTGGAGGTGGGATAAAAGTGACTCAGTTTTGGTGGCCTGCAGAAGGGATGAAGGGAAGGCAACCACAAGGTGCCACCAGCCCAGTGCCTGCAGCCTCGCTGTGTTGTCCCTTGTCCTGCCGCACCTCCAGGAGCAAAAACTGCTTCCTTGTCCCTGCCAGACGACGTGGGAGGCACAGTCTGCAATGCACTTGATAGTGGGCACCAGCCATGGAAACTTCCCGCCCATGGCCCTGCTGCCTA